GTGACATCTGTACTTGTTTGTTCATTGCAGCCCTCTTTACAATAGCCAGAAACTGGAAGAAACCTGAATGCCCAAGAACAGATGACTGGTTAAAGAAACTTTGGTACATCTACACAATGGAGTACTATGTAGCTCTTAGAAAAGATGAAGTCATGAAATTTACATACAAGTGGTACAATATGGAAAGTATCATGCTAAGCGAAATGAGTCAGAAAGAGAGGGATAGACATAGAAAGATTGCATTCATCTGGGGGATATAAAGTAACAAAGTATGAGATTAATACCCAAGAATAGCTGAGATCAGCACCAGGAGGATTACTCCATAACTTAGAGGCCAGCCGGGTATCCTAGAGGAAAGGGCTATTCAGATAGAGAAGGGAGCACCAAATAAAGGATGTTTGGAGGATCCTCCCAGGAGGGGAGATGCATGTCGAAAGTAGACTATGGACTGAACATGTTTGCCACTCAATGCCTCTTTTGCAGACCACAACACCCAAAAGGAGAGAGAGAACAAGGGGATTGCCCTGCCACAGAGACGGGGGGATGGGGGGATGGGGGTGGGAGGGATATTATCCATGGTGGTGGAAAATGGGCACTGGTGGAGGGATGGGTATCTGATCATTGTATAATTGAAACCAAAGCACAAAAAATTGTAAATCTACAACTTTAAAAAAAATAAAATAAAATAAAGGGGAAAAAAAAATTTAAAAAAAAAAAAAAAAAAAAAAAGGGGAGGCTGTCTGGAGGCTGGAAGATCGGGGAGGCTTTCCTGAGGAGGAGAAGCAGCAATGAGACTTGACGAATGGAAAACCAGGCAGAAGCCACGCAAGGGAGAAGTGGAAGGTGGAACTTCCAGGCTGGGGTGTCTCGGGGGTCTGTGATGAGGTAAGCATGGAGAGCGACTCTGTTGAGGAGGAAGGAAGAGGAACAACACTTGTTGGGTGGTGACTTGTCCCAGGCTCCCCGTAGGACCCCGCAAACACCACCCCCCCAACACACACACATACACAGCATTGCACTCTCACCAGTTCCTAACTAGGTAGGCAGAGATTATTACGATTTTGAATGAAGACACAGAGGTCCCCAGTTATGGAGCATGGTGACAGGTACTGGAGCAGATAGGACCCAATCTTGCAAAGTGGCCCAGAAGCGAAGCCTTGCAAGAGGGAATATCCGCTATACTTAGAGAACCCTATAACCTCTACCAAGAAACTCCTAGAAACAATAGACTTGTATAGTAAAGTTGCAGGCTATAAAAAAGTCTCATGGACCCAAAAGTCCATGGCTTTCCTATGCGCAAATAGTGAGAGAGAAGAACGTGACATGAAGAAAGCAATCCCCTTCACAATTGTGCCCCAGAAAATCAAGTACCTAGGAATCACCTTAACTAAGGAAGTAAAGGACCTGTACAAAGAAAACTACAAAACGCTACTTCAGGAAATAAAAGAGGACATGAGAAAATGGAAAGATATCCCCTGCTCATGGTTTGAGATAATTAACATTGTCAAAATGGCAATACTTCCAAAAGCACTATACAAATTCAATGCGATCCCTATAAGGATACCCATGACATTCTTCCAAGAAATCCATTTCTTGGAAAACACTCCTGAAATTCATATGGAACAATAAGCCCCCACGAATAGCTAAAGCAGTTCTTGGGAAAAAGAAAATGGGAGGAATCAACCTCCCCAAATTCAAACTCTACTACAAAGCAGTAATAATTAAAACAGCATGGTACTGGAACAAAGGCAGAGGTGCAGATCAATGGAACAGGATTGAATATACTGACATCCCCCCTCAAACATATGATCATCTAATCTTTGATAAGGGAGCAAAAAATGTGAAGTGGAGCAAGCAAAGCCTCTTTAACAAATGGTGCTGGCAAAACTGGACAGCTACATGCAAAAAACTAGGCTCAGATCTCTGCCTAACACCATGTACAAAAGTAAGATCAAAATGAATTAAAGACCTCAACATCAGACCGGAACCCATAAGGTACATTGAAGACAGAGTTGGCAAAACCCTCCATGACATTGAAGCTAATGGTATCTTCAAAGATGTCACAGCACTGGCCAAGCAAGTGAAAGCAGAGATAGACAAATGGGACTATCTTAAACTAAGAAGCTTCTGCACCTCCAAAGAAACAGTGACCAAAATACAAAGACAGTCTACAGAATGGGAAAGGATATTCGCTGAATACACATCCAACAAGGGGTTGATATCAAGGATATATAAAGTACTGGTTGAACTCTACAAGAAGAAAACATCCAACCCCATCCAAAAAAAAAAATATGGGGCAACGAAACGAACAGAAACTTTCTCAAAGAAGAAATCCAAATGGCAAAAAGGCACATGAGAAAATGCTCTACATCATTAATCATCAGGGAGATTCAGATCAAAACCACAATGAGATACCGTCTCACACCTCAGAGACTGGCCCACATTCAAAAGAACAAAAGCAACCGATGCTGGCGTGGATGTGGTGAGAAAGGGACACTCCTTCACTGTTGGTGGGAATGCCGACTGGTTCAGCCCTTCTGGAAAACAGTATGGACGATTCTCAAAAAATTAGAAATTGAGCTCCCATTTGACCCAGCAATACCACTCCTGGGAATATATCCCAGAGAGGCAAAAAAGTATAGTCGAAGTGACATCTGCACTTGTTTGTTCATTGCAGCACTCTTTACAATAGCCAGAATCTGGAAAAAACCTGAGTGCCCGAGAACAGATGGCTGATTAAAGAAACTTTGGTACATCTACACAATGGAGTACTATGTAGCTGTTAGAAAAGATGAAGTCATGAAATTTACATACAAGTGGTACTACATGGAAAGTATCATGTTAAGCGAAATGAGTTAGAAAGAGAGGGATAGAATAGAAAGATTGCATTCATCTGGGAAACTTAAAGTAACAAAATAGGAGACTAACACCCAAGATTAGTACCAGGAGGTTTACTCCATTGCTTGGAGGCCAGCCACACATGCTAGGGGAAAAGAGAACTCAGATAGAGAAGGGAGCACCAAATAAAGGGTGTTGGGAGGATCCTCCCAGGATGGGAGAAGCATGCTGAAAGTAGACTACAGACCGAACATGATTGGCACTCAATGCCTCTTTAGCAAACCACAAAATCTAAAAGGAGAGAGAGAACAAAAGGGAATGCCCTGCCACAGACGCAGGGTGGGATGGGGGGAATGGGGGTGTTGGAGGGATACTGGGATCTGTGGTGGTGGGAAATAGGCACTGATGGAGGGATGGGTATTTGATCATTGTATAATTGAAACCCAAGCACAAAAAAATGTAAGTCTACAATTGTACCTCATGGTGTTTCACTAATAAAAATTTAAAAAAGAAAAAAAAAGGGAGTATCTGGGCAAAGCTGACAAGAACAGAGTGTCAGCACCAGGTGTTCGGCCTTGAGCCTCATTCAACCTCTGAGTCACATGAGCCCTAGACACAGAAACTGTCACATGTGCTTAGCAGGTCATCCTAACCTCAACATCTGCCCTGATTCTTATTGGACCAAATCAAATCTTTCCAGAGCAGAGTTGGAAAGGTGATAGGCTAATACTGCTAAGCTTTCTGTGATTGGACCTTCTTGTAAGCCGAGAGCCCCTAAAAGATGTGTGTGTATTTGCAATAAATAGCAACCATCAAAAAAAAAAAGCAACCATCAGCTGCTCCCGGAGGGTGTTTCTTCACACACTTGTCATCCTTCGCTCCATGTCTGCCTGGACCCAGTGCGCAACGTGTCTGGGCACATTGGGGTAAAACTGTTCCCCAACACCGAGTGATGTTCAGGCCCCCAGCCGAGCAGACTAGAGTTAAGCTGTGTGAGCTATGGAACTGAGGAATTTTTTTTTTTTACTGACTGTCTGATTCCTGTGTCCTGTCGGGGGCCAGTAAACCAGCTTCTCAGAGAGACAGCATCTCTGTGAATTGTGGAGTCAAGTGTGGAACACTAGGTGGGGCTGGGTTATCGATACTGGAAGTTCATCAGAGAAGTGGAGATGTGAGACCCTGCCTTCAGTCCTGGCTCTCAGCTGAAAAAGGGGAGAAAGAGGAATTCAGTGAAAGAGGAATTAAAACGACCTTCTAGTAGGACAGGAGGACACTTGCCTTGCATGCAGCCAACAGGATTCCATCCTTGATACCACACGTGGCACAGTGAGTGCCACCAGGGGTCACTCCTGAGGTAATGAACCAGGAATAGCCCCTGGAACACTGCGGAGTGTGACCCAAACTCTCTCTGCCTCCACACACACACACACACACGTACACTCATGCACACACGCACACACATGCATACACATACACGCATGCATGCAAGCATGCACACACACACAGATGTACACAAAATTTTTTTAATTAAATATAATAAACGTCTGGTCATCTAGGGTAACGTTCCCCAAAGTGACCAATACCGCTCCCCCCACCTGCCCCAGGAGGGTGTTAGAATGATCAGGACAATAGTAACCTCAAGTACAGTTGAAGGAGGCACTTTCCGTTCACTGAATGGAGGTAGGATTTCAGGCTGGCACTGAGTCATTTTATTTCTTCCAAAGGGGGTGGTAAGGCCAAGTAAGTTCAGGAGCCTCTAGGGGAACAGTTTATAAGAAGCAACATGGAAAGAAGACCCAGGGAGAGGTGTGCGGAGGGCCTGGGACAGGGAGAACACAGAGGCTGGAAACAAGACAAATGTCGTAACAGAGCAAAAGATTTTCCTTGTTTGGACTTGGCAGACAGGAAGGGGCCACCTACCAGGATGTGCTCCGGCCAGAGCTTGCTGGACCCAAAGCCAGGATTCCCCCAGGCTTGTACATCCTGCCACATGGCCTGATCTGTGAAAATTCAACATGTTCGGAAGGGAAATGAGGTGCAGGTGGAGGGAGCACCTGACTGGCTCTTATGCAACAGGGATTTGGTGATGGGACATGGAGGAAGGAAACCGACTATAAAAGAGGAGAAACACCACCCCGGCCTTCCAGGCCCAGGACGTGACC